GCACACAGACATCAACTATTCACCTTGATGAAAGTCTCAATACAGCTATGGAAAGCCTAAGTATTTATTCTCTTACAGTACACTGGGTGCCGGCTGCAAAAAGAACAAAAAAATGTATTCACTTCAGGCACAACTTCTTTCTTCTTTAAATTTAAATCAGTAAAAGAAACTGGGTTTAGAAGCTGCAGTGTTCTAAGCAGCAGCAGATTTGTGCATTGTTTTAAATATATTTAAATTACCACACTGATGGCACACCTCAGCCTTATGAAATTCTGCACTGTCTGTTCCAGAACACTACAAAATCCACCGACCCTGGGAGAGACTTGCACTGAGCTCTAACGACTGGCTAAAGGAGTCAAGTTAAATGAACTAGGAAAACACTGTAACATTTGGCCATCAACTCAAGGTATCTGAATGTCCGTGGAGATCTGATAGAAACTGAACTTATTCCACCCTCACATGGTCCTCAGAATTTGAGCAGAGTGAGCTGAAGTGAGTCTTGCCCTCCACTCCGGAGGGAAGATAATGCAACTGAGCACTAAGGCATAATAAACCTTGGCCAAAAACAAGGATAAAGCATAATAACTGTAGTGCAGAATTCCACAAGGTCTGCCCGAGCAGAGCTGTCTATGTTTACTCACAGAGGCAATGGAGATTGCAGTTACCAGTTGCGTTAAATGCACCATTCAAAACAAGCTTCTAAAATGTGATACTATAAGGCGCCACCTTAAAGTTCTCCAGAATGCAACTGTGCAGAAATTTAAAATGGTTTCGTAAATTTAATTTTAAACATAACATGAGAAGGTGTTAAAACTGGTGGAATAGCTTCTGAGAATTTTGGAGGAAGGGATGAACGGGGAGATATTCAGTACCCTTCGCCAGCCCCAGCGCGCGGCCCAACGTCGCCGTGGGGTTGGGATCAGTCTATAACACCAGCCTGGCGGATCTTTCTCTCTGCACCAAATCCCTGCAAGGAAAACACAACAAATTTTTAGCTCCAGCATCACAGAATTATGAAATCATTTAGACTGGAAAAGATCATCAACTGTGAACCTAGCCTGCCACCGGGCTTTGAGGCAAAGCCTGGTCTGTTCTACCCAAGTAGCATCTTCCTAATGAGTCAAATTTGTCTTCAGAAACAGAGACAGCAACAAAAAACAGGTTCTGTGGGGTGTTCCTTACAGTCCAAAACACTTCACAGATTTCAGACACTTCTGCTCTTTAAGAGGTGGCAGAACCTTGTGTGAAAGCCACGGCAGGGTAAACGAATTTCTAGYGTTTAGCGATTTTTCTACTTGCTATCTCTGAGGTCATAAATGAAAAGCAAACCATGAGAGCCATGACACACCAAGAAAAGGCTCCACATCAGGCAGCAGCTAGCTGCTTCTCTGCTGTGTGCTCCTCTGAAGCCCCAGCACCCAGCACTGCCCCAGAGCACAGCTCTGACACAAACACAAGGCACCCTCACACTGYAGGCCAGGAGTTCACTACGGAACAGACACCAGATCTGAGTGCCCAGGCCCCCCAGAGGCAGCAGTGCTGTGTTCCCCAAGCCAAGCAGCCCCTGCAGGGATGCTGCCCTGGGTGTCTGTACCTTTGAGTTGTCAGGGCCCCGGGGCTGGCGGAGCACCGTGAGCCGCGGGGCGTTGGCATCGTCCAGGTTGATGCTCTTTAAACGGTTCACGAGTCTATCGGGGCGCGGAGCGGCCACAGCCTTGGCGCCTTCACTGTAAGAGAGCACACACAGGCCACTGTCACCTCCCCCAGCTGCTGAGATCGACCCCAGGCTCCCACAGGCCTTGACTGCAGTCATTTAGAGCAGTTACAGACAACAGAATTATCCTGTGACAGCAGGCCTGGCTGACAGCCTGTCCCTGCCCCAACTCTTCCTTTCCACCCAGGAATCTGCAATAGCAGCAGCTCAGAGCTCTCCAGAGGTGTTCTGCAGGGAGAAGAGGTGTTGTTTTCACTCTCATGCACACCTAACCAGTGTTTCCTACATTTCTCTGGCCCAGGGAAGCTGTGGCTGCCCCTGGATCCCTGGAAGTGTCCAAGACCAGGTTGGATGGGGTTTGGAGCAGCCTGGGACAGTGGAAGGTGTCCTGGCCCATGGCAGGGGGTGGAATGAGATGGTTTTTAAGTTCTCTTCYAACCCAACCCATTCTGTGATTTAACTGCAATAATAAAGGCTTGCAAGTTGCCACTATGTCATGGCAGAGCATTAACATCTCTGCAGATGATGGGAACAGAAAATTTTTAATTAAGCAATTCACTTTCCATCACTGCARAAGTGCTATCTCACGCTTAAGCAAATCCAAATTGTGCAGTCTTCTTCAAGTTTGTAAACAGTTAAAAAACAAACCCCATCACTCTAAGAAATGCTATGCAAAGAGAAAAGAATCCCTAAAAACACAGGTTTTCTATTTAAAAATGAAAAYTGCTCTTCAAGAAACAGGTGGCAGCACTGTGGAATGTCTTGGCCAGAGGCCAGCATCCACACAGGAAAACCATCCATTTCTTCATCAGTAACTTCTACTTGCAAGGCTGYATCCAAATTCCTGCTACAGGGGGARTATAGGAATAGATTAAGGAGAGAATCAGCCAYGTGCARTTAGGGAGGGCTGGGAGTGCTGCTGCTGCCTGCACTGGATCCCCTYGMAGAGCTGGGAGCTCTCAGGTGCGACKCTCCCCAGAGCCACTGGAATCCAGAACTGCTGCTGCAGGGACAGCCAGCTCAGGCAGCCACAGCCTTCAGGGCTCTGCTGGGATGCAGACATCAGGCTAGGATCAATCCCTTCAACCCCAAAGCCTCACCAGACACGCCACACGTTACAGGCACTGCATTTTCCTGTGCGCTGGTTCAGGATTACGGAGAACTCCACTTCGTCCCCAGCCTGGAGCTCCACACCATCCTGGACTTCTTTGACATGGAAGAAGAGCTTTTTGCTGTCACCAACTTCATAGTTAATGAAACCAAACTGAAAAGCAACACATCACAAAGTTATTGATTTGATTTGCTCTGCATCCAGACARATGCAGTAATTTACTCATCACTGTAGTTTTAACTTACTTTTAAATAAAACTTCAAAACTGTAGTTTTGAAGTAGTTTTTTTTTGTAGCCTAACAGAAATGGAAATGCAATTTGTACAGTGACCAAAATATTCTGTCTGGAAAAAACACTTCAGGAAATCCAGGTATTCTTCCTGGCTTTGTTAAGTCACATTTAAATCCCAAAGTCTATAGAACAAGCTCTGAAAAYTGCCCCAAGTCCTGGCAGCTGTATTAAACAGTGAAGAGCAGTGCCCCAAGCTCTGAGATTCCACCCTGAAGCAACCACTCCATTTTCTGGTCTGTCACTGGGGTAAGAAGCCATTTACTTCTATTTTCCWCTCTACTCATGTATAAACCAGGAATACTCATCCAGCCTCTCCATAATCGACCGGAGATTAGTGCTGCACAATAACTACAAAAACAGAAAGCATTTACAGTATTTAACTTTTTAATCATTCCCAGATGCACCGAGAGCAAAGATCAGCCTTTGCATTTCAGGTGGGTTGTAATCATTGACTGCTTAATTCYGTGAAGAAACTTCTTCCAGAAGGAGAGCATTCAGTGTTTTTCTGAACACTTTTTAAACACCCTTCTTAGCAAAAAGCTGTTAGAATGATTTCTGTGACACCTCAAACCCAATTGTTCAGAATCAAATGCTGCCCTCAGCTGTGATGTGTCAGCACCAGCCCAAGCTCTGAGCTCACCCAGGTTCTGGCATAGGGCAGGACCTGGGTTACCCACAGCTCCCTCCCTAGAGCTGGATCCAGAGCAATCCATCTGAGCACAACTCCCTAAATCCCAGTGCTGAGGTGGCTCCCAGCTGGAGCAGGTATTTCCTAGCACATGGCCCTGGTGCTCAGTCACTCACCTGGTCCTTGACACACTCCACGGTGGCCCTGCGGAACGGGGTGATGTTCACAGCCATCGTCTGCCCRTTCTGGCCCAGGACACACAGCTGGAACTTTACTGTCTCCCCCTTCTGCAGACAGTCACCTTTGTTTGCCATGCCAACAATTCCAAAGGGATACACCTCTCCTTTCATCTCACCTGGGGGAGAAAATGATGAGATGGAACTGTGAGGCCTTTCCCACCTGATTTCACATTTCCAGTATTACAAATGCTGCTTTTGCAGTCAGCTCAGCAGTGTGAGTACAGTTTATAGAGTGAATAAAATCCCCAACACCTCTATTTRCAGTGGATTCAACTTGTGCACTTGTGCAAGGAATTAAAAGAAGCCAGTCTTACCATCCTCCATGACTTCAATCATGCCCTGGTAYTCTGTCTGTGTGGGATCTACACTCCTCAAGGGACGAATTACTTTACCAGAGTAAACAGTTGGATCAGCTTCTTCAGTGATACCATTCACTGAAAAGAGACAGACAGCAGAAGAATAGAATGTTTTAATCATAACTCATTTAAAACTAATAAGTGATTCAAATTGACCAGGAGACAGCAGTTTGCACTGCATGGCACCAAATCAAAATCACACTGAAATTTCACACATAGAAGTAGAAAAATTTTCCTCAAAAAACTTAAGGCCATGAAGGTTAAAAAGCAAATCAGTGTTTCACTTCTCCTCCACTGCATTTCCTACTCCCTTTAATCAGCCAATGATCTTTAAGTGTGCATTCCCCCAAGTCCTTAACAGCCCCCTCCCCCATCTGCCCTCCTCCCACAACCTTTCCCCTGTGAAGTGCAGCACAACAAAGCAGTGCAGGTGCTGATTTGGCCAGTTCTGCCACTCAGTCTCTCCTTACAACCCCCAAATCAAGAGGGCAGAGGACATTAAAGGTACAAAAGATGGCTCCTGTGCACAGAACTGTTGGTCTGAGCTTGTCTGTTCTGTGGGAACACAGCAGCTTTCAGGAAACCACCCCACACTGAGCACCTTCTTGCTTTAAGCTCCAGCTGTGAATGGATCATTAACAGACTTTACCCATCAGCACAWGCCAAGGGCCCTGAAGGCAGAGAACCCCAGGTACAGCCTTACCTGCATGTGTTTTGTTCACTTTCTCTGCACTAACTTTGTTTCCTTTGCCTTTTGACAAACTGTACTCCACAGTRTCTCCAAGCTCCAGGCTATCAATATCACCACAATATTCACTAAAGAACAGGATGATAAACAGTTTTTCCTTTAGTTACATGACACCAGTGATGCTCACCCCACATCCACATCAGTTTTCAGATATTATTTTTAAATCCCTCAGCACTTCACAAGGAATCCTCATTCAGGAAAATGAAGCATTTCAAATATACAAAACAACTGGATTTCTTGGCCTGGGATTCAGAGGCACAGAACACCAGCACTGCTGACTAACAGAAAAGCCTGAAGCAGTGCAGCAGAGATGATAAATGATATTGTAGGTATCTATGCAAACATATACGTATAACAATATATAATCTCTGTGTGTAAAGTGCAAATGGGTTTAACACTCAACCAACAAAACTCCACACCCTCCCACTACTCCCAAACAGACACAATCAAATAAGAATAACAATATCAATAACAACAACTAAACAATTGTCATTCACCTGTAGTGGAAGAAGATCTCCTTATCATGATTGGCTGTTTCAATAAACCCAAAATTATCTTTCAGGGCTGCCACATATCCCAAGAGCCTCTTGGAGCTGTAG